AATTGATCTGTCAAACGTTCAATTTGTTTTTCGACCGTGTGCGCCCTTGGCCTCTGCTCCATCTTGTCTTTCATTAAGGATAAAATAAGGATGAAATGATGTATGAGTCAAGGGTAGAGAACAACAGGCGGGAAATGAACGTGTCACCAATCAGGCCTGACATTAGTCACACTTGCACTCTGATGAGAGAGAGAGAGAGAGCAATGAGTCTTTGCATGCTAATGTCCTCAGCACACACTGTTAATGCTGCACAAAATGTATTTAAATTATTGTTTTTGGCATAAATAATTAAGGATGCACCGATGTGAACATTTTGGCCGATACCGATAACCGATAATTCTTTATATTTGAAAGCCGATAACCGATATATTTGTCCGATAAATCGAAATATAATTTTTGAGAGCCTGATTGCAAAAACAAAAGTCTCACAATTAAAATCCATTCTCATTATAATTTCATGTAGCCGATATGACAGAACATTTTGCACAAAACTATATTTTCCTTTTTGATTCCAGTCATATTTCAAGCAATTAAGATCAATCATGCTGAACAGTGCACATCTAAAGAGTCTCAGGTGTCAAGCTTATCAGCTTATCAGCTTTAATACATCAGCCAAATTTTATTATCAGGCCGATAACGATAACATAAAAATGAACAAATATCGCCCGATACCGTTATGCTGGCCGATATATCATGCATCACTATAAATAAATAATCCATGTAACTCCCTGTTAAACATTTGCTTCGTCATGGTTTAGAAAAGAAAATACTATTGCCATTTATTTTGTACACCATTTACTAACTGCTAATGTGAAATAAATCAAATGAGGTATTAAGTTTGTTTGCTTTGGTTGCTTTTTCTTTGTTTTTACTAGCCAAGGGGACAAGTGGAAATCATTTCAAATTGTGTTGCTTTTTGAGCCTTGACTTAGTACATCTGTTCCACCGTGGGCTGAACCTGACTCTGTGATTTGAATGATGGCTTGGTGTTTGTGGCTAAAAGACGCCCATGTACGAGTGAGCTGTAATGACAGACGCCATTACAGGGTTGTGTGTATGTGTGTGTCTGAGAAGTCATAAAGGTCCAGACCATTCATTGACATTACATGCCTGAAAATACCACAACCACTCTGATGAAGAGCTGGGGATTTTTTCGCCATAAAGAGAGGTGATGAGATTGAGAAAGACAGAAGAACATTGTACGGGAAGTGAGGGAGAAAATAGAAATCACTAAGTTCCTAAAGTGTTGATAAAAATAGCTGGGGAATGTCTGCCTCCTGACTAACTATAACTGTATGATCTTTGTTAAATGATGTCAGACAGTGTCAGCATTGGTGTGTGTGTGTGTGAGACAAAGAGCTGGACGGCTCTTGACTCTGAGTGGAATCGTCTGTGAAGGCAAAGATGCCATAATGAAAACAGAACATGCGTTACTCTTAGGGCTTTTGCACACAATAGAGACTAGTGTCTGTTTGTTTGTGTGTGTGTGTGTGTGGTACTTAGGCTATGTCCTCAGTACACACAAACAAACAAAAAATTACAATAAAAATACAATTCCACAATAAAAAACCTATCGTTCAATGGAAAGGTTATGTGAATGTTAAATATTCTTCATGGAACTATCAATGCCTATCAAGTGTTGATAAACAAGTTTGAATTAGTGATGTGCGTCACGAGACTGATTTCATATACGTACGTTTTAATGAATATTTTGTTACTCAAGAGCAATTTAAGCACCACAAATAACTTTCTTGGCACTTGTAGCACTTAGCACTTGGCAAATTGTGCTACAGAAATGAGTTGCTCAGCTCAGAGTTTGCCACCAATTTTTGTTGTTTTTGACGTACACTTAAGAGTCCCAGTGGACATCATCCATTTCTTTCGCTTACTATTTCATCATGAATACTAGGCAAATTTAGATTTGCTTTGAAAGTTAGTCTGGCAAAGAGCTCATTCAAGCCCATTTCCAATCCGACGAAATCGCGGCACCAATCAGAAACGTTGGGGCGGGATTTACACGATGACGACAGCGCTGGGATTTTGAAGCAGATTTAATAGCCTAAATTACAAAGATGGATGCCGCCGTCAAACATCACTCTCATCTGTTTTAAGCGATTTGAACATTTCCTTTTTGTTAAAAACCGAGCAAAGAACAACACTCGGAGATGTTTCTCCGCTGGCCGCCGCTCTCCTTCATCGCTATGATTGGTTTTAGGTCTACCCGCGACGTCCGTTGGTGACGCCCCTCTGGACATGATTTGTCTTTGACGCTTTGCCAGACCATAACTGAGAATGGTCTGGTTTTAACCAGGCTAATGAATACTACATACAGTATTTGCCATATAGCCTACTGCTTTTGGCATACTGAGTAGTAGTAGGAAATTATACTATAGTATAGGAATATATACCCCAAAATTGCGAAAGTGATAAGCCAACTTTTGAGTTTCACATATTTGTGAGTATTTAATAATATTAGCTGTGACGGGTCCCATTTCAAAAAATGAAAAAATGCTGCTGTTTTTCCTTCATAAATCGGCATTTATTGTATTTGGAGTCAGCTTGTTGCAGTGTCTGTGCTCAGCAGTGCAGCTCTGTAAATTGTCAGGGAAGATGAGCTGTGATTTCTTCACTCTTATCCTTGTGAAATGAGCTCTGTTAATCTGACAAATGACCATTAAGAGGGATTGAAATGGTTCTCATACTTATGTACGACGTCTCTTCCGCAGAGGCCTCAGAGAACGTTCGCTCATCTCTAAATACGCTGGCGCTCACATACGCTCAGCGTGAGCTGTCAGACTGATGTATGGAGCATGAACGAGAGAGTGTTGAGCTGAAACATGGTGCTGAGTGAATGCTAATGTACCATGGAGGCCCTAGAGCTTTAAGACCACCAGCCATGGAAAAAAAAATCTCCTTTACATGTCTCTTCTCTTCTCATCTTTTCTCCATTTGTCTCTCACATACATCTTTCATATACTCTTTTATTCCCTTCTCAATATCTTCTCTAACGTCTCCTTTTGTCTCTCATATACTCTTCCTTTCTCATCTCAGCTTATTTCTCACATAGTCTTGTCTTGTCTCATTTAGCCTCATCTCTCATAGTCTTGTCTCATTTATTTCTCACACATAGCCTACTATCTTGGCTCTTCTCTCATATACTCTCTTCTTTCCTTATGTTCTTTTCTTACATAATCTTGTCTCATCTCATACTCTTGCTTTATCATCTCAACTCATTTCTCACATAATCTCATCTGATCTCGTCTCATCTCTTTTCTCAAAAATTTTCATTTTTGGGTGAACTAACCCTTTAACTCTTCTTGTTTAATCTCATTCACTGTCTCATCACATCTCATCTGCTCCATGTGCTTCCATTTTCACTCTTGCATCTGGTAAATACACACACTCACACACAAACAAGCACCATCCTTCCATAAAAATTCCATAGGCTTAAAAGCCTATTCATTCAGAACTGAGAATCTGGCTGGCTTTGACCCAAGGGCTGAAAGCTGGTGGAAGCCTGTGTAAGTAAGTGTTGCCTGTAAAATACACCCAGAAAGGGAACCAAGCCAAACAGGAAGTGGCAGCGTTAACCTAATTCCAGGAGAGGAAATGATTGGCCACCATGTGCGCTGGTTGTAATCTCATTGGCCGGCTGCATGAAAAATAGATGTGTTTGTGCACTGGCACCAACGCACGTTAAATACACTGAAAACCCAATCCTACATCAACAGCTCCACAGCAGAGCTCTTCACGGGAGAATGTTTCCAATTTTTCCAATTCATAGACAACATCAAAGTCCAGGCTGGGATTCAGTAGGGTGCTTTATTGCCCTCAAACACAGACTTTTCTCTTATCTCACTCTGTTTCTCGAGCTGTGCTGGTTTTGTCGGAACGTCCTAGGTTCGATAATAGTTAAGCTCTGTAACATGCTGTCAAATGCCACAGAAAATCATCTCAGTTTGTAAAAATAAGCACAATTGGTTTTAGTTTAATGCTTTTAGTGTGTGTGCAATTCAGTATTATTGGAATTCAATATGTTTTGGAGAGTATACAAGCATAAATGTGAAAAAAACCTGGGGTTACTATAGTAGTTACAGATAGTTCACTCATAAATGAAAATTCTGTCAGCATTTCCTCACCCTCATGTTGTTTCAAACCTGGTGGGGTTCTTCTGTGTATCACAATATGTGTATGATAAATGTTATATAAAAATATAATATATTTTGAATAATGTTGGTAACCATGAACCTTTGATGGCCATTGATTTCCAAAAAAAAAAAAAAAGACACTGAGATTTTTCAAAGAATCTTGTTTCGCGTTCTGCAGTAGAATAAGTCATTCAGGTTCGGAAAGACATGAGGGTGAGTAATTATGACACAAATTTAATTTCTTCACTTTTTTAGTTATGGGATAACTTATGATTATTTAACAGTGCTTTGCAGATAATGTTTCCAGGTAAACATGGCCATGACAATAGTTGAAAGATTTTTGCTCAGACCGGCTTATTACAGTATAATAAAATCATATTAATAACATGTATAATATTTACATCTTGTGGCTATGCTTTCGAAACAGTTTATTGTGTTTATTGCAGTAGAATGTTTTTTTTTTATTCTGTAGCATTGAATCAACTGTTTAAACAGCCTCTGATTTTATTTGTAATAAACTTTCAATATTATTTTCTCCTCATAATACAGATGTACGGTATTGAACACGGAACCTTCCTATAAAAGCAGACCCACGTTGTTTGCTTTAGATGTGAATGACGCAGTTTGCCCTTGAGAGCCACATACTGGCTCAGACCTATGTGATCAGCCACTTGTTGCTATGCTCTAGCGGATAGAAAAGAGAGAATGTGTGTGTGTGTGTGTTTGTTAAAGTGCAAAGAAAGTCCAATTTCTTTTCATTTCTGTAAGCCTGGCTTATTAGTGAGATGATTCACGTATTGGATGGTGAAAATTGCAGCTAATTGGTCTATTTTTTTCTGTTTGTCTTTCCAGCGTCTAATTCAGAGCAGGATGCTGCAGTGAAGTTGGAACAGGAGCGAGCTGAGATACTCGCCAAATATGACAAGGTGAGAGAAAACAGCTGTCATTCACTCACCAGCCAAATACCCTCCAATACACTTCCGAGAAAAACAGTAACACAACAAACATGTACTCTGATCCAATCAGATACCTCCTTCCACCATAATTCACAACCTGCACCTTCTTTGGGAAGATTCTCTGTAATCTCATTTGCGACACTTTGCTAAAACGTTGTCTGCCTGATGTTAGAAAGATTGGTCCTGATTGGTGAAAAGAGTCCTCTTGAATTGCTGAAATATGTAGCAGGCATGAGGTGAAACACCTGTTCCCCATCTGCTATGTATATCACTTATGTTGGGAGGCTAACTGTTATCCTAAGTTCACATCTGGCATTGTATCTTCATCCATGCTTTCCAGAAGATACACTCGTTACAAGACATAGGTGAAGTATGTTGGTTTACATGGAAGGAAGTGGCCTTTAAAGTGAAATGAGACATCGATGCATAATGATTATGTGGTAATAAATATTATGACTTCATCTGTCCCCTTTCTATGATTAATGTGTGTTTACACTGAACGCTTGTGTAAGGTCTCATGGTTTGTCCCATGAAATCTCTCAAGCATGGCCGGTTTGTTAATTGATAGTTTAAATTGAGTGTAATCTGAGCACTCATTAGGGAGCTGTAAATCTGTAACGTGTCTGTTAATTGGATTGTGATAAGCTCCCTTACGTAGGGATTCTCCTCTCAACTCAAGAGAGCACAAAACCTAAACTCCATTACAGTTTTAATTTAGTTATTTTAATTTTTTTTTTAACTTTTAACATTTCTACTCCCTGAATTCTTGCATTTTTGCACAACTTGCTCCCGATGAAAACCGATACTAGTTCACAAAAACAACACTTTGTTGTTCCAAACCTGTTTTTGTTTTGTTTGTTTTTTTTGTTTTGTTTTCTGTTTTGTTTTGTTTTTCTATTTGTTTTTGTTTTGTTTTTGTTTTTGTTTTTTTTGTTTTGTTTTGTTTTGTTTTCTGTTTGTTTCTTTTTCTGTTTTGTTTTGTTTTGTTTTTCTTTGTTTTGTTTTCTGTTTTTTTTTGTTTTCTGTTTTGTTTTTTGTTTTGTTTTTCTATTTTGTTTTGGTTTGGTTTGGTTTGGTTTGTTTTGGATAATGAAAATAAAAAAGGACTGGCTCGTTATTCATTGAAAATCTTGACATCGGCCCCAGATCTCACGTGGATTCTCATTGAGAGGTTGCAATGTCTGATTTGTTAAGAAATAACAAATTTCTTCAGTCTGATTTTTGGTTTTATAAATTGGTTGATCCAGTTCCCAAAAACGTCCTGAATGTTTTGTTCCCGTTCTAACATAACTCACTGATTCATCCTTTCAGCGGTGTGTTGAAGAGGTTGAATTAAGAGCCCAAACTCCTTAAGAGGTTTTGTTGTGTCCAACAACAAAGTAACAGTTGGACTGTCAACACAACAAATTGCACACTGAGATGTGTCCTCCTAAATCCATCCCCTCCAAAGCATAGTTTTCACAGCCAGCCAAACAGCGCATCTGCAACAGACTCCATATTATGTTTATTAAAGAACTCATTGTTCAGGCTCTAGTTTTGGGTGTTGTCACATTTTACAGTAACAGAAGGGAAGTGTGAATGCCACTAAACCAGGTTGTGCTGTCATTTAATAGTCACTCATTGTTTAAATGTCAAATGTTAGTCCAATATCATAAAATACAAATGTAAACATGTTAGTGCATGCCATTTTGTTCTTGTGAGTTCATTCTGTCAGGTCTAGAGGGATGAATAGATCCAGAAAGACATGAGAGAAAACAGTGGAGGAGGGGTGTGCCCTTGGCATGTGTCACAGGCCGAAATATTTCCCACAGCCACGCGTGTCACTGTGACATGCCATCAGATTAGCATATCCCACTGTAGATTTATGCCTGTGACATACAGGAGAGGATGAGAGAGATAAATGAGTGTGTGCGCGTATGCCCTTGATGTGGCTTTTTTTGTCTCTGATTTTCGATTTCCTTCATACTCTTTCTTTTTTATCGCTCCCACTCTTGTTCTCTCTCCTGCCGATTGATTCCTCCCATTCTTTTTTCGTTCTCCAGCCCTCCTAGATCTATCGAGACCTTCACGTTTTCTTTGTGCATACATTTTCTTGCCTAAGTGACAAAGTCCACATGTTGTTTATTACATTGTTAGTCATTGGTGTGACAGTTCAATGGCTTTTGGGATGAAATTATTTTGTCAATGGGTAGCGTGCTTCACCTTTCTTTTCATATGTTTAAGTGACACATTTAAAATGTGAATACAAAATTGCCATTTGTCAAACTAGGCATGCATAGTGCACACAAATGATTGAAACTATGCATTTATTTAATTGTTTAATTGCAATTTTTATATTGGCCATTTTATATTGGCAAACTTATATATGGAAGTTTGTTTCCACCAACAGAATAAAACATTTTACGACTTTTTATCTCACAATTGCGACTTTTTATCTCAAAATTGTGAGATTTTGCAATTTTGCAATTGTGAGACTTGCAATTGCGAGTTATAAAGTCTTAGGGAAAGTCTTAGGGGAAAAAAAGACTGACTTTTTTTCTTCACAATTGCGAGTTTATATCTCACAATTCTGACTTTATAACACACAATTATGACTATATATATCACACAATTCTGAGATAAAAAGTCAGACTTGGAAGATGCAAACTCTCAATTGTGAGAAAAAATAGATTAAAAGTCGCAATTACCTTTTTTATCTTTATTTATGTGGCGGAAACAAGCTTCCACCATAATATCAGTCATATTTTTTAAATATTATCTGCTTATATTTAAATGAAGTGTCTGTGTTAAGCAGCCCTGAATTAACTGCACTTTACGAAAAAGTTTACGTTTAGAAAAACACATTTTGTGTAATGTGTATGTGTGGTCAGAAAATGTGTCTCTCCGTGGTGGTCCTCCTTTTGTAAACACACTGTTCTTACTCAAGGATGATCTGCTTCTGCCCCAGGTGCCTCTCTCTTTATTTGTGGTGTACTGAACCTTTCATATTCTGCCCACCCCTCATTATGTACCTAAGATATGTATGAACAGCAAATTCACAGATTAGTGGAGCCAAACACTTTACAAACTCAAGCCTTGAGCAACTCCACACACACATACACGCTAAAACTATGTCTCAACTGATGTGTACTCACTGCTTTGTGTTATTTGTGCTTTCAGGGTAAAGAAAGTGCGGAGGTGGAGCCGTGGGAGGAGGCCAATTTTGATCTGTATAAAGCGGTGGACCGCTTCGGATTCCTGCAGTAAGAAATGTGCATTATTCTGTTCTGTGAGATCTTACACGTTACTGAGGAGATGCAGGTACTAGAGAAAGCCAGCAGAGTCGGAGCGTTCCCTGAAGCCCTATTTTGTTGTTTGTCTTTTTCTTTGGCCTGTCCTGTCTTCTCGTTTCTCCTCTCTTCTCGGCTTGGCAGGGAGGTTTGAGGTTTACCCAGGCCCCTTAAACAGCAGTGCCCTATGCGATATTTATAGGGTGCCACATGTGTCTGGTATATCAGGAGTCTGTAATTGCAGGGTTGAAAAAAAAGAAAAAAAAAACCTGGAAGAGAACAAGCAAACTGAGAGATAGATAGACCTGGCTCAGTTTTGTCAGTTTTTCTTATGATCTTGGTTTTTTTTTTTTTTTTTTGTTTGTTTGTTTGTTTGTTTTTGTTAGTTATTTTGTATTTTAAGGGTTTGTTTGTTGTTGTTTTTTTTTTTTTTGCTTGTTTGTTTGCTTTGATCTTATGCTTTTATTCTGCTATTTTTTTATTTTTTTATTTTTTGCTTTAAGTTTTGTTTGAGCTTTGTTTTGGTTTTGCTTTGTTTTGTTTTTCTAAAGATGGCAATATTTGTTTTTAAAAAAAAAACCCAAAAAAACATATGAACACGTCAATAATTACACTGATTCTGATTGGTTTTTCACAACAACATATTTGAACTCTCCAAGTAATTTATTTCGACCACAGTGCTGTGGTGCCTTAAAGTTGTAGTTCACTTTTAAAAAAAAAAAATACTTTTGCTGATAATTTACTCACCCCCATGTCATCCAATCCCCCATGTCTTTCTTTCTTCAGTCGAAAAGAAATTAAGGTTTTTGATGAAAACATTCCAGGATTTTTCTCCATATAATGGACTTCAATGGGAACCAAACGGTTCAAGGTCCAAAAGACAGTTTCAGTGCAAACTGCAAACTGATCAAAGGGCTTTAAACGATTCCAGACGAGGAATAAGGGGGTCTTATCAAGCGAAACAATCGCTCATTAAAAAAATTACTCAAAAAAAGATTTGTTCATTTTGATGAACAAGTTCGAACAGGAGAGTCACAAACTCTCATTTGAACCTTGAACCGTTTGGTTCCCATTGAAGTGCATTAAATGGAGAAAAATCCTGTAATGTTTTCATCAAAAACCTTAATTTCTTTTCAACTGAAGAAAGAAAGATATGGAAATCTTGGATGACATGGGGGTGAGTAAATTATCAGCAAATGTTTTTTTTTTTTTTTTTTTTGGTGAACTACTCCTTTAAAGTTGCTGCCTATGTTGACAGAAATAAAGCTCTCTACGTTTTAGAACAGAGCCATAATGTCATGTCACGAATTCCCTGGTTTTCCTCATGAATATCCCAGATCAGATCCAAAATGGCAGCCATTTCCTGTTTGCTTAGCTGACTAAGATCTTGCACTTTGAACAGTTTCAGGGGTGGGGGTCATGAGGGTATCATTACCAATAATGATGTTTATTTATCCAGTTATGTTCACTTCCTGTGGAACAAAGTAATTCCTTTTTCAGTAATACATGTGAGAAACCAAGATTTGACGTCAGCAGCATAAACCAGCGCATGATTTATGGATGCGTTTTCTGTCCTGCATGGCCAGACAGAATTTCTGTCGTGTTATGTGAAAAGTGGACAGATATTAGTAGCTATGTGAGAGACCAGTGTAGTCTGACTAAAATGAGTTTTGTCCAACTGTGTGTATTTCCTTTTTATAATAAAGTGTGTTTTGTCTTTCACAGTGAGGAGGAGCTTCCAGTGTATGACAGGAATGTAGTGGAGGAAAAGGTGAGTCCAGTGCTCTGTTTGTATCCAAGGCAACAACATGGTTAAACTTAAACCTCATGTATTCATTCTGCATCTGTGAAAAATAGAACCAAGATCTGGATGATGAGGAAGACACTTTAAACCTATTTATCAACACAATTGTGTGCAATGTTTAGGCTTTATTAAAAAAAAAAAATGTAACTTAAGTAATGGAATAACTTTAAGTGTAAACATGCTGTAAGTCTGAATTAATTCATTTTTATGTAAAATAATTGCCATTTGGATGCAAGTATGATTCCCATTCTCATGTAGGGGATACCACATGAATCAAGTTTGTTGCAATTTGTCAAATCCATAACTCACAATAACCTTTTTGTAATTGATCACAGTTAAAAATAAATACTCAATATTATAAGAATAATCGCTGTATTTCCAGTGTAGAGTTGCAGAATACATATAACACATAGGAAGGAAAGTCATTGTAATCGGGGAGCAAAAGTCTCAAGAATTGGTTGAACCTGACATGGTCTGCCATACTTTTTATTTGTGTTTTTTTCTGTTAACTTTGACCCTAAGAACAAATAATTGGAGGGTCTGCTCTGCTGGAAATATTGCGAAAAAAATAAATAAAAAATCTGGTCATTTTAGTGCATGCACCCTTTATTTTTTATCTGAAAAATGTGAAAAAAAAAAATGTTTTTCATCAAATCCTTAGTGGTTTGGGTAGGCTGTCAATAAATGAATTCCAGATACACAGAACACAACATCCACTGAAAAAATAACTCTTAAAACACATTTCTACATGATTTTGCATCAATTTAATGCAAAAGAAAGAAAAAAAAGGCTGGGAAAAAGCCGTTTTCTCACTTGTTTCCAATATTTTCATCTTTACTTCATTTGGCAATCAACTATTCCCCTAAGTTATGACATCAGTCAATAAGCACTATACTCATTCCACATAATTTTTTTTTTTTTTTTTTTATAAAAATCCAACGAAAATTAATGGATCTGTGATGGTTTCACTACTAGTTGGCGATCAACAGGCTCAGCACTTCAGTAGAATTTTAGACTACTCTCAAAATTCTTAAAAAACATGCTGGATATTAGACATGCTGGGCAACTGTGTGAATTTGAGGGAAATGGACTTCATACATGCACTAAAATGTCCTTCACCACTTGGTTAAAAGTAAATATAAAAATGACAGACAAGTGATTCAGATTCAAAATTTCTTGATTTGTTTTTCACACATTTAACATGCAAAAAGTGTCAGGTTATAAAGTGAAAATGAGCTCTAAATTGGAGAAACACAGAAACATTGCTTCCTCAGAGTCCGTTATGCTCTTGTAGAGAAAATATCTGAAATGTGTTTTTAATGGGTGGCCTCCTAAATTGTAAAAATGCTGTTTATTTAATACTGCTTTCTAGATCTCACTGAAATCCATTTTCATCTTTAAACATTAAGGTATTGTTTGTCTTTTTGTTTGTTTTTTTAATACATTTTGTCTGTTTAGCATAAACATCTGGAATTGGAGAGAACAACAAAATGGCTGAAAATGTTGAAAAGCTGGGAGAAATACAAGACCAGCGACAAGGTGCGTGTATAACAGGCACTTCATGAACAGACCATGACTCTGAAGGACTTTGAGAAAGTCAGTTTGTCAGTCTTGTGTGTGTGTGATTGGCTGAAGTTCCCTTTGGCTGTCTCTGTCCTGTTTGGCTGTACTCTGTCCTCGCTGACATTGGACCATTCCCCTAAGAACGGTCGGTGTCTGTCTATATTGTTTGGACATCTTCAGGCAGCTTGGCGTGTTCAATTGCTTTTCTGTCCACTAACAGTGTCTAGTGTGAAATGAGAAATCTTCATACTGCCTGAGGTGGAGCGTGACCGTTGTTCAGTTTATGACTCTGTGTAGAGATAATCATTACTTCTTATTATTAGTCCGATTAGTTTGATTTGACTGTCACACTGTGTCTACACTAAGCGAGCATTAGCATGAAACATAGCATGTGTGTTATAATAGTAGGAAGGACAGAGACACATTTCACCATTGCTAAAGTCTAGCTCAAGCCAGTTGTGAACAAGCAATAAGTACACTTATTGTGAAAATTGCTGATGATATTACAGTCATATGGATTATTCTGTCAACAATGGAAATGATCTGGTGATCTGCGTGTTGTCCAGAATTAATAAATATACTGTATAAATATTAGTCTGAAGTGATTTGGCAAATGTAATTTCCCAATGATCTGAGGTGCAAGGTCAATACCCAGCCTGTTCTTCCTCTTGCAGGATAGATCGGGCTGATGTTCACTCTTTAATCACCAAGTGTCAAGTTTATTATTCCAGACAAATCCCACCCAGTTCATGTCCTGTTTGATCTTCAGCCGTGTAGCTCATGCTATCTTTCACATTCCCTTTGCACTATTTTTTGTTTGTTTATTTGTTTGTTTTTCAGTATCTGTCCTGTGCCTTGATTCTTGCATCTTTAAGATTTAAAATATACAACTCATTTTCTTTAAATCGTTTATATGACGAACAATTCATCCACATAAAAATTGTTTCATTGTTTGTATTGGCGCTTTTCCAATGCTGAGTGCGGCACAGTTCGGCTCGCTTTTCCACTGTGTGGTACGACTCGGCTCGACGCGGCACGGCTCGGTTCGGTTCGCTTTAGCTCGGTTGCTTTTCCACTGCAGGTGGGATTATAGACTGATCGATAACAGCGGTGACTGTTACTGGCTATTTAAATCTAGCGGATTCTGTCTGACCAATCAATGATCTGCAGTGTTTCACATCACATTTAGTACCGTTTAAACCCAACAGACCATTTAAAGCGAGCCGTACCGTGGAAAAGCGGCACAAGTTAGCCGTACCGTACCATGCAGCGGAAAAGCGCCAAAGCGTGCCGTACCGAACCGTACCGTACCATGCTGTGGAAAAGCGGTATAAGTATGTTATGTTTAGTTGTGTTATTAAAATGCCCATTCACTGTAGGTAAATCGTCTAGTTTTAAATAGTTTTAAATTATAGTTTTATAATTTATAGCAGGAATGCTCAAACATTATGTTTTACATGTAAAATCTCACTGGGTACAAGGTCAAATGGGTTCGCCTAACATAATGTTTGAGCATTGAACTACCTAACAAGGTAGGCAAAGTTTTTCATAAACACTATTTTGTTATTCTGGTTGAAACTCTCTTCATGGCCCAAAAATGCCGAACGTCCAATGCCGAATACAATACGATGTCCTACCTGCCTGTCAATATATTTATTTGCATACCTCCTGTTCGCCCGCAGACATCACACATCATCAGCGTGTCCCATGATGCAATGCAGAGATGTAGACAGACCGAGCGCCACAAACAAACAGCAGCCGCCTTTACAGTTCCTCCTGAACCAAAACAATGAGCATATGCTGCGTTCACGCCACGTCAACCGTAATTACGAGATGACAACCTGTGACGTTCTACTCGGAGCGGTTCACGTCCTCAGACTTATGAGTTTCCCTGGCAACATTATCAACGCCGAAATGAATCTGCAGCAGTCAGGTGGTTCAAATAGGAGCTCTGCAAGTTGTTTACGGTCAGGATTATTATGTGCTTTGAGACACGAAGTAATTTAGCACTATCTCTCGTGACGTTTTGCAGACTCTTTTGTGTGTGTGTTTATGTGTTTTGAAGGAGGTATTGCATTTGCAATTGATTGTGTATTTTTTTTTTTTTCATTTATTTAAAATGTTCATTTGTATAATTTAATTATTAGTTTCTAATCAATAGACTGTAGACTGGATCTGCATGGTTGTTTTGGTTCTGACTTCATTGCACTGCACTCACTCCTGAGGTATCTTGGGTATAGTGTTTTTTGCAGAACAGATGGAGTCATTGACTTCATCCGCAATTACAAAGCCAATCCCCCGTCAGCAAACACACTTAAACACATAAGCAAACACACACAGACACCTGCCGATTTGTAATGTCTTGTTTTTATTCAAATAAACAAACAGTCTTAACCGGCTCATTTCGCCGAGATTAGGGGCAGAAACACACACACACACACACACATTGGTTGGGTTTGTGGCTGTGGGATATAAATTCCCACTGATGTCTGTCAATAATCAGCTCCTCAAGAGCCTCCCGAAGATTATTAATAACGTCGTTACCATTATTGTAAGAGAACTACTCAGCAGCCATCAGTCCACACACACACACACACACAGATGGGCCCTGAGGGCGGAAGAGACGTTCAGGAAATCACTTAGAAGCAGTAATGTGGACAGATGAGTGCAGGGAACTGAAGAGTGTTCATTCCTCTCTTCCACCTCTCAACCCCACCACTGTTGTACATCTCTTTCTCTCTCTCTCTCTCTCTGTTCCAGCGGGTGAGTTTAATGGTAGCTGAGAGACGATTCACGCCGGCCATTAGCTTTTGTGGTTTCAGCGTTTTGCTTTTGAGCTTTTAATCTGCCCTCTTATGGGAGTTTAATCTTTACTGACTGCACAATTACCTGTTGGAGACAGATGTGTTCTATTACACTGGTATTGAATGTGTTTAGATGGTGGGATTATGGTTATTGGGGGTGTCCACATCGTTTAGTTATATATATTACATACCTTTGTTTGTTTGTTGTTTTCAATGTCTTTCAGATTTTAAGAATGAATTCAAACTCCCAGTTCAATTTAACATATTTCACCATAATTAAATAGGTACAGAAAATGTGGAAAGACTGAAAATTCCATCTGGGTCTGGCAAAAAAAAAACAAAGTCATCTGTCTCTGATAGAGTTGTCTATATTCCAGATTGCAAAAGCATTACAGTTTATGAAATAGCTTGGTTTCATTGTATTATTTTATTTCTTTAAAGGAGTGCAGAAATCTGTCTGACTAATCAAAATAAAATGTAATCTTGTTTTGATCATGCATGTGTGTGTGTGTAGCTGGCGAGAAGGATCTATAAGGGAATTCCACTGCAGCTCAGAGGTCAAGTTTGGTGTCTGCTGCTCGACGTCCCCAAAATCAAGGAGGAGAAGAAGGACTTCTACGAGGTAAAAACAGTCTCTCCATCCACCATAGCCATAATTTTCTTTAGAGATAGTTTATTCCACAGAAATGTGTGTGTGTGTAAGAGAGAGTCAATATCATTGCTTAAATATGACTTTCTAAAATTGCCAGCCCCTGAGGTTTGCAGTGTAACACTTATGTGGTTTGACACACACACATACACACCGCAGAGGGAACCATCACCCCAAATGGACAATAGCAGCTTTACTAAAGCCCTGCAGCATCCAAGCAGACAGAAAACATGATTTGCAGGCTGTATTCTCCTTTAAACTCGAAGTGTTTGTGTGTGTGTGTGGCAGAAATGATGCTGTGGTCTCTGCAGAATATTGACTATAATACACTATAATACATTGAGTTTATTATGAACTCAATGCCCTGTCTCTTTATTTGTGCAGAAACTGAAGATCAGAGCGAGGGGGTTGTCTCCGGATGTCCGTCAGATTGATCTGGATGTGAATCGTACATATAGAGATCACATCATGTTCATGCACCGTTATGATGTCAAGTGAGCATCCAAACACATGACAGAAATACAGACACAAGATACACAGGAAGTTTTAATGGCAGCTGACTACTGTATAAGATGACTAGTAAGCAATCTAGGCCCCTTAGCACATACAAAAAACAACAATAGTAACGTGGAGAGGTTTGCAAAACAGATGTCGTCTTACAACATGACATTGTGTAGCCGCTGCGCTGGACTGCTGTATATTTTTGAGGCAGAAAGGAAGGAGGCTGGTATGTGTGGCTTTGTTCTGTGCCGTTTTCGCCGGTATCAAAATTCAACATGCCTTCATTATATTGTAATTTTCCACTCAACCGGCACTTTGCAGCAACACATACTTTTTATTACAGCGACAGCATGTTTCCTGTAACGTCTGACATGTTTACGTTTTACGTGACGTTGGAAAGTGACATAAACCACAAGAAATTTGATCAGAGAGGTCAGATTTCCAGAAATGCGATTTGAATCGGATTTTACACATGCGTTTGCTCAAAACGGTTTTTTTTTTTTTTTTTTGCCGTTCACGCTAATTATGATCCGATTCCAGTCGGATATGCACAAATAATGGATTTTAACTGACAGCCTAAATTTTTTTTTGTTTTTTTTAATTCTGATCAAGTTATTCAAGTAGCCAAATATTTAGTGTTTTGCTTTTAGTTTTGTATTTGTTTTGTTTCCATATTATCAAGTATTTAATTTAATGTAATGTAATTGAATTTAATTTCTTATAAATATGGCATACATTGTGGTGTTTTAGCAGGCTTTCATACTAAATTGCTTTGCTGATGGAGACTCTTTTTTTATGTAGGGCTTTAATCTGTCTGTGTAAAATACATTTTTTATTTCTCCTCGGAGGTGCTTCCATTTCTCATGGCCATAAAACTGCTACATTTAAGCAGCATGTGAAATGGAAAAGTTGCGAACGCAATGGAGCGAGAGAGAGACGCCCACACCCCACCGTTTCTCTTCGAGTTATTGGTGTATTGAATTGTGACAGGGCTAAAGCGCTCATATTGATTGATGTGACATTTACCTGTGGAGATTTAAAAGGGTCAGATCATTCTCCCAGTGTGGCCTTAGACATCCACGGGACAGGAATGGGAATGAGACAGGAGAGAGAGGGAAATAATAGAACATGCAAAAATCTGCTAAAACTTAATGATCTATGGCATTTCAAATGAAAAGGAGAGTGGAGGATGTGTACATGATTGTTTTGTGTGTGCTGTGTTTCAGACAGCAGGATCTGTTTCATGTGCTCACCGCGTACTCCGTTTATAACACGGTGAGTCACAAATACCCCTTTTTTAAAATAGTTACACTGGTTTCAGTTTGCTTCCCAATATTGAATTAAATCGCTGTCTCAGAGTCAGCAATCATTTTGAGTATGGTTTTGGTTTATGTGTGGAAAGACACACAATGGATTCTCACTGTAATGGTGTGTGTGTGTGTGTGTGTGTGTGTGCAGGAGGTGGGTTATTGTCAGGGCATGAGTCAGATCACTGCTCTGTTACTCATCTATATGAATGAGGAAGATGCTTTCTGGGCACTGGTTAAGCTGCTGTCTGGACAGAGACATAACATGCACGGTACATGCAAACTCTTATACCCACTCTAGAACTGCTGTTGAGAAGTAATGATGATTATTGATTAAAAATCATCATCATAACCATAGTGCATGTGTTAGATTGCCAAATTTTTGTAATGGAAGAGATAGTGCATCCATTTTAAATTCAAGATAGTCCAAACAGACATCACTTGTAAAATTAAAGAAATATCCAAATTAAACGAATACTAATACTGCAAAGAATAATATCGTTATTAATTATTTATGTATTTTTTCAAAGAACTGTGCGTCCACTTACATTCAAGATAATCCTGCAATTATAAAATTAAATAAATATCTGGAAATAAATAAATTAATAAATAAAATATACATTTTTATTAAATGATTTTAATTATTTAAAATGAAATTTAATTTTTTTAAATAAATAATTATTAATAATAATGATAGGAATACTATTTTTTATGTATGTATTTTTTTTTTCAATGAACTATGCGTAATCCAAACACCCTGTGATTATAAAATTAAATGAATTTCTAAAGTAAAATTTTATTTATGTATTTTTTCCAAAGAACTTTGTCCACTTCAATATAAGATTATTCAAACAGCCAGCAATTATGTAATTAAATATCTAAAATAAACAAATAAATAATGTACTATTATTATTATTTTTATTATTGACTTAAATTTTTATTTATGAACTGCAATTGAAATATTTCATAAAATTAATACAAATGTAATACATATCTAAAATAAATGAATGAATTAAATAATTATTATTAATAATAGTAATACATTTAGGCTTATTTTATTCATAGTATAAAATACTAGTTCATAAATGCCTAATATTTTGTTTGACTTTTTTTTTTCTTCTATGATTACATTTTGGGACCACTTGATATATAATGTAAAATCTGAGTCCTGAAGCAAAAATTAGAACCATTGAGCACAACACTAATGTTGTATTTACTTATTCAATACTGTATATTATAAACATGCACTTCATGCACACTTTCTTTACCAAACTGAAAAAATGTTGTTGTGATCCTCTAGGTTTCTTCATACCAGGGTTCCCTAAACTCATGCGCTTTCAGGAGCATCATGATCGCATCCTGCAGAAGATGATGCCTAAACTCAAACAACATCTAGTAAGAAAAAAGAAAACACCAAAACATCATGGTCTACATTCAAAAAGTGACATTTAAACCTTAGGCCACTTTACTCATCCTTTTTTTTTTTTTTTTGCATGCCAAGCTCTATTTTTAGTGTAGATACACTTAGAAGAAATGGCACAAAAGCTGTCACTGGGGCAGTACCCTGTAAAAATGTTTTAATATGTACCTTTGAGGTGCTAATATGCTCTCGTTTGGTACAAAAGTGTACTTTTTTAATGGGTTCCACCCCAGTGACATTTTTTGTACCACTTTTGTGTATACGGATGAATGATTAGTGCCGTAAATTAACTTTTCACAATAGCTTCAAAGCTTCATATGCAGTCTTATTTTGGCCTATATTGTGTTCAGTGTATCGGTGTCTTTTCTGAAGTCAACTCGATCAGAACAGCCGGCCAACCCTGAGTGCTCATGTCACAGAGAATCCAGCAGAAATGCCAGCAGGGATTCATTAAAGGGCAGAGTAGTTAATAAAAGGCAATATTAATTAATAAAGAGATGGATGGTGTGAGGAATGAATCAATTATTAGTGTGTGAGAGTCAGCCTTTCATGTGGGTGGATTAGAAAGAGGATAAAAGAGAAGGATAAACTTCAGTCTTTCATGTGTATGACACTATACAACCACAGTACTTGCACTATTTTTGCAGTATATAAACTCGGTAAAAAAAGAAATGTCCCTTTGTCAGGACTGTGTAGTTCAACAACAATGTTGTAAAAATCCAAATAACTTTACAGATCTTCATTGTAAAGGGTTTAAACAATGTTTTCCATGCATGTTCAATTAACCATAATCAATTCATTAACACGCACCTGTGGAATGGTCGTTATAGGGATAGTTGACTTTGAAATTAATTTTTGATACGAGCGGTTTGTGTGAGAAAACAAACCGTATATATATATCGTTTTTACCTCTTGTAACCACAGCCACGTCCAAGTGAACGGTTTGACCTAAAAATATAAAAATGGAGAATACTGTGGAAACAAAGATTAATTTCAAAATGAAGTATCCCTTTAAGACCTTAACAGGTTACAGAGATTAGGCATTTAAGGTCACAGTTGTAAAAAACGCAGGACACTAAAGAGACTTGTCTACCGACTGTGAAAAACACCCAAAGAAAGATGCCTGCCAAAGAGGCATGCTGCAGGGAGGCATGAGGACTGCTGATGTGGCCAGGGCAATAAAGTGGCATGTCCGCACTGTGAGACGGCTAAGACAGGAAGGACAGTTGATCATCCTCGCAGTGGGAGACCACGTGTAACAACACCTGCACAGGATCGATACATCCGAATATCACACCTGCGTGACAGGTTCAGGATGGCCACAACAACTGCCCGAGACGCATCAAGAACAATCCCTCCATCAGTGCGGCCGAGAGAGGCTGCACAAACCCACCTTCGCTGGACCAGACAGGAGTGGCAAGAAGTGCTCTTCACTGATGAGTCACGGTTTTGTCTCACCAGGGGTGATGGACGGATTTGTGTTTATCATCGTCGAAGGAATGAGCGTTACACCGAGGCCTGTACCCTGGAGCGGGATCGATCTGGAGGTGGGGGGTCCGTCATGGTCACGTGGTACCCTTCATGCATGCTCATCTGGACATGATCCTCCAGCAGGACGTTCTGTGCGTGAGTTCCTGCATGACAGCAATGTCAGTGTACTGTCCCGCCCAGCGAAGAGCCCGGATCTCAATCTCAAGCCTCCCATCATGCATCATGCTATTTCTGTTAGTCACATGTCTGTGACATTTTTAGTTCATGTCTTATGGTGTTGACTCTTTTAGTGTTGATAGAAATATTTACACACATTAAGTTTCAGTAACAGTTGAAAGTCAGAGGACGTGTCTTTTTTTGCTGAGTTTCACAATATATGAAACACCAATGGGATGCATGTACCTGGATTATCTAATTTTAGGAATACGAATGGTGTCGTGTACAACCAAAGATCACACACAATGTGTGAGAGTGTATGTGCACTGCAAAGACTTGACCTCCCAGGTGTAGAGTGAGAAAAAGTAGATTATTTGTAATATTATTATTGATTTTATTTTGACAAAGTAGGATTGTAAACTCAAATGTGAAATGTACTAATTTGTTGTAACATTCACCGATAGAATTTAAAAAAGTATACGCTGTGCAGCGGGTTATACAGTAGTATTGCTTGTGTGGGCATGCAAAAAAAAAAATTGATCTGCCGTCGGTTGCCATTCACTTTTTAATAACTGTTCCTTTGCTGCCCTCTGCAGGATAACCAAGAGGTGTTCACCAGCCTGTATACAATGAAATGGTTCTTTCAGTGTTTCTTGGATCGGGTATGGACATTTAAAACATTATTTGAGTAAATCAGAGCATATTATGTTTTTCTGTTGTAACATTATTTGTGAAACCTCACTGATTTGAGTGCATTTATATGTGTTTTGAATAGACTCCGTTCACGCTCACGCTGAGAATATGGGACATTTATATTTTGGAAGGAGAGCGAGTTCTGACTGCAATGTCCTACACCATCCTCAAACTACACAAAAGTAATGACTGTATGTGTGTTGTGTATTTGTGTGTCCTTTATTTGGCTTTGTGGACAAAATTGCTTCTAAGGTACTGGTATATCCGAAGGGTCAGTTAATGACTCACCCTCATGTCCAAGCCGTAAGCCCGTAATCACTGAAGCGGATTGACAACAGAACGGGAAGACACTATTATGTTTAATAAAGTCGTAGTTTTTGTTATTTTTGGACCGAAATTGTATTTTCGATGCTTCAAAGCATTCTAACTAACCCACTGACGTCACATGGACTACTTAGATGATGTCTATATTTCCTTTCTGGACAAGGACAGTATACTGTACATTCATTTTTAACGGAGGGACAGAAAGCTTTCGGACTAAATAGAAAATATCTCAAACTGTTTTTGGAAGATGAACTGAGGTCTAACGGGCTTGGGACAACATGAGGATATTAATGACATTAAGGTTTAAGGTTTAGATGCTAGCTCCTTAAAAACATGTTTGAAATATTGATATATGAAATAAAATGATTGATATGTGAAAGGGAAAACGTGCAAAATAAACCCTGAAAGGACTTCATAATAGTTAAAATTATTAAAATTAAAGTTAAAATTAAAATAGTTAGACTGTATAGTTAAAATTAGTGTGTGCGGTTCTTAGACTTTCAGAGACTTTGAAGATGTCACATTCTTGTTGTAACCACTTGTGTTTTCTCTGGTTTGTGTGTGTTTGCATGTTAGAGACCCTCTTGAAGTTGTCTATGGAGGATCTGGTGAAGTTTCTGCAGGTGACTCTGTCAAAAGATTTCTGTTTTGAGGACGACTTTGTGATAGAGCAGCTTCAAAACTCCATGTCTGAGCTCAGACGATCTAAATTGGAGCTGCCACCTCCAGGTACTTTAAAAACACAAACACATACTAAAATCATGGCAAATCATAAAATGTATGGCTGTGTGTCACCACCCATAGAGGGAGACATCCTGTGCACACACACTGTCTCCCGTCTTTGACTCTATCTGCTTTATCTTTTCATTTATATCTTGCACACACACACACACAGACAGACACACACTCATTCACTGCTGCTATGTATTGTTTGTCTAATCTGCGTTCTCTCCCTTTGGCTTCAAACATAGCTTCTGCTTACACTAGTGGGTCTGGGAAAGGAGGGCACCAACCCTCCTACAAAAGCAACCGGTGGGCAAAAACGCACTGACTACTTTATCTGTCAATCAACCAACCATTCGTTCGTCTACCCCCTATATACACACGTCCCTCTCCCCTCGTTTGTTTCTCTGACCCTTCACAAAACCTGTGGTCTTCAGCTAAATATTTTTTGGGGGTTACGTATTGCAACGAGCTGAGTTATAAAATTCAGTTGACAGAAAATACTTATATTAAACACGCTTAGATGAGTTAAAAAACTAGCAATAGAAATATTTTTAACCTTTGTATTTTTGAGTAATTGAGTATTTCCTCAATTACTCAATTATTTTAGCAATGCTCAAACTATTAGAATCAATTCTGAGTCTCCTAGCTAACGTTCCCAAATAATGTTTTCATAACTTAATGGGAACATTATTTGTTGTTTTTTTGTTGTTTTTTTTGGGACCTATTATTCAAAATTCAATTGTTTGAACATAAATGTGTGTCTGCAGTGCATATATAATGGTAAAATTCCACCCACTTCTTTTATAGAATGCCCACAAATCATAAGCAGTGTAAATAAGCCGTTTGCCGTTTCTACGCAGTGTGACATCAGTTTTGCACAGGCTTTGCTACGACTGCTGATGGACTCTGCCGTGTTTGCATAATAGGTCCCTTTTAATGAGAAATCATACATAACCATTCTTGATTTGAACAACAGTTCATGCCATTTGGCCTGTAACCTGCATTTGGTGCTTGGCAAATCTTAATTCTGGAACCAAAGTATGATAAACTAGCACCGTTGAAGGTGGTTTGTTTGGATTCGACGTTTACGTTCCTCACAGCCCTTTCTCAACGCAGACCAAGAACCGCCCCAACCATCAGTATCTGTGTGTAAACGTTCATCATTCCCTTGACGTTTTCTTCAGTTCCCTTCACTGCGAACATGAATATCGTGCACATTGTGTGTGAATTCCAAAACGTGCCTAACACATCCTTTCTCCACATGATTTGTATGTTCACAGTCAGGCTTGAACAGTAAGTGTCGTGTTAATATGTTCATTTGTATCTCTTTAGCTTCTTAAATCCTCAGCTTTGATTCGACACCAGCCGTGGATGTTTGTGGTTTGTTTTTTCATTTGAATGAAGTGTCAACTGTAACTGTTGTGTTATTTGGCAGTTTGGTTCTGCTAAAAAACATTCAGCTGCATGACTGTTGCATTTCAGTGTGTGTTTAATAAATAAATGTCCTGGTTTAAAAACTCCATGAAATGCAGTTTTCTTTCCCGGGGACAATCTCATTCTACAATATTTTGTCGTTCCTAAATTTTTTACACGTCCCTGAGAGCAGGAGTCGTCATCGATATTTGGATCTGTTTTTCTTATGTAGAGAGAGGCTGCTCATAAAGTTTTCATGGAGTCTTTAATACCTGGCACTTCCTTGTTGACATCGGCTCTGATCGGTTTCTCTGCTGTCACCCGTGCAGGTAAGGAGGACGAGTTTCCTAAGAAAAAATTAGGTCAACTTCCCCCTGAGCCTCCAGGATCGGCGACAGGAACAACCAATCACGTGGCTAACGGGCAGCCGTTCGGGCCGACGTTCGCGGGTCTCCCCCCTCGTGGTCCGAGCCCTGCCGCGAGCACCGGTAAACGAGCAGAGTCTGGTCCCATCGCCGATGGAACACCCGGCTCACCGGACAAGAGCGAGAGGGACGCACGGGGTGTGGAAACTCAAAAGGAAAGAGTCCCAACCCACGTGCCAAACAGCGGCGCGAGAGTCGGTGGGAAGGCGTCGAGCCAGAACCAGCCAAATCACACCTCCAACACTAGATCCAGCACGCGCAAGGAAACGGGACCTCGCTGGGTCAAGCCTTCCGAGGGCAGACTGGAAGCGGTCAAGGCCGCAGCGATTCGGGAAAGCCAGTCGAGTCTAAATACGGGCGTTCCGCCCTCGCCCAGCTCCCTTACTCCAGAGGAAGCCTCAGGGGCACAGCGCCGACCCCATTCTCGTACGTTCGCCTCGGGCTCCAACCGCGCTTCCAACGCCTCGCAATACGACAACGTCCCGGGACCAGACGGAGAGGTGATGGAAATCATAGAGCTGGAGAAACCACCGTCTCGCCCCCCATCCCGACCACACGCCGGACCTTCTTTTAGAGGCAGTCCCACCCGTTCTCCCAGCGGTGCGACTGGGGTTTCTCCCTTTAGAATGGCCAAACAGAGCACGACGCAATCCAAGCCAGAACCTCGCGCACCTCTGCACTATCCACCTGGCATGACGCCCGTCTACACCACCTACTTTTCGGATTCTCGGCCAGAGGACAGACTGTACGCGACTACGGGACGTGGCTCATCTAACCCGTCGCCTGAGAAAAGTCTGACGAACAGCAGCTACTTAACCTACCGACGGACTCCGCCGAACGTTCCCCCGCTCAGGGTCGCTCCGGCCGAGACGTCTTTCCAGTTCGACGGCGTGGGCGGGTATTACGTGAGGCGGCCCACCCGACTGGGGTCTCCCGCTCACCCGCCCACAGAACCGCGTTACGAGGGACACAGACAGAGAGAGGGCTGGTACGGGCACACGGAGGCAGGGCCTCCGCGATCTCCCGTGGGACTACCTCGATCTCCCAGCTTCCAGAAGGCTCAGCTCTCTCCCGTTCACCCGGTTCAGGAGTTTAACTTTGCACCCGCAAATATCTCGGACGCCGCGCTCCATTTCAGAGGACACTACCAAGAGCACTCCAGCAGGCAACAGCTCCCCCCGCTGTTCGGAGGAGCACACTACAGGCAGGCACAGGAGGCCTTCGCAATGCAGGAGTCCATGCTGCTCTGAGAGGGACACACTGTATGAGTTATGGCTCGCGAGAAGTTTACCGTTGGCTTAATGCTTTTGCATTTTGTTTGTTCGTTCGTTCGTTCGTTCACTTTGTCTGGCATGTCTTACTTAGCGAGAGTTGCCAGTTTCAGGCATTTGTACTGATCAAAGACTGACTGAAGAATTTGACTTTTGTTTTTGCCCGTAAAAAATAATCTTTAACTGCCGACGTGAGTTGTATAACAGAGCTTAAATGTGCAAAGAGAGATTGTTGTTGTTTTGTCGAATTAGTACACTGAGATATTTAAATGGAGGGTTAAAGACAGACTCAGTTACTGATCTATTATCATCTATTTTTTTAACGCAATCCAAACATAAACACATACTCTAGAGGACAATTGATTCCTTGATTGTGAATATATATTTTTAAGAACAAAGATTTGTGTAGCTTAGATATGGATAATGATGAACAACTGAAACAGTGAACATAATGGCTGTTGTATCACTACACAGTGTTGAAATGAAAGAAAAAACCTTGTTTGGAAGGCTCGTTTTTGACGACATATATAAAAATGGCAGATATTTAACTTGAAATGAAAAGGGATATGTGCATTTGCAAAATCTGATCAGCAATTAGATCTTATAATGTCAGTTCATCAAGGTTAAAACATCAAATAACGGATCAAACCGATTGATATTTGAGTTTGTTCAAATCCATCAACAGATGACTTTCGGCGGTCAAAGCGGTTTGATTTATCCAAATCCATCCAAGAAATGTCTGTGATGCACAGTGCAAGTTATACAGTTTAGTTACAGAAAACTGTTCAATAATACGGCTGCTAGTTGGTCGTGGCATGCGGCTGCTGTGTTAAGTTGGTTGTACCTGTGCTGTTACTCAGTGGAATTAGAAAGAATGGACCTTTTTTCTAGCAGCAAGAATTGGACTGAAGCACAGGTTTTACACATTATAACACAATGAACTCACAGATGTATTGATCTTTTTTCAAGTCGTCTGTACCATTTCCTAATCTTATTCAGGAAACTACAGTAGATTAGGCTGCTAACCCACTAACCTGTTTTTGAGTGAATCATGGCAACACTACCAACTCATTTGACATTGATTTGAATATTACACACCAGTATATTTGCTACTGAATAAGCAGATGGATTATGTCATACTGTAATATACCAGGCCAAACAGCTTTCAAGAAAACACTCCATCTGCTATCATACATAATTAAAGAATATATTTTGTACGTGTTGTTCGTGGACAAGCAAACTAATTTATTATCTGCTGTAGGCCCCAATTGTTTCCTTCTCCCATGCTTGTCTTTTCAGTATATAAACTGGTTTAGCGCATTTCGTTTTGACACAGCATTCCAGCCGTCTTAAAAAGTGAAACTACTAATTGCAAGTTGATGATCAGATTCCCCTTCTCTAATAAAACAACATGGGGTGATGTAAAAAATGTGGCCACTGTTTTGTTTGTTCAGGAGTGTCAAATTGTTTAATGAACGTATAAGATGTGATTCAATTGTCGAGACTGCTAAATATTTGAATCCAGTTGTAAACCGACAGTTGTAAAACTTGTAGTAGCTGTGGCAAGACAAATCTGAATCACCCAACCTTAATCTCACAGAGATGGCGAAGCGCGACCTGGAGCAACTGTTGGTAAGTATTCTGATGAATTATTTTGTCATTTTGCTTAATATTTATTCATTTTAAACTGTAATGTAAGTTAATGCATAATATGAAGAAGTTATGTAAAAGGATAAAATGACCAGCCCAAACAAGGTAAATACGAGGCAACGGCTAACTAAATGATAGTGAAGTCAAGTCAAATTTATTTATATAGCGCTTTTCACAATACAGATTGATAACATGAAAGTAGTACAACACAAACATTTTTTTTGTAGAGGTAGAGCGATTAATCAGCCGATGCTGTGCATTATTTCACTGTAGACTAAAAGGTCCAACAGTGGAATGCCGTTGTCTGAAGATCAACAGATGGACGGTGCGTTGTGGTGCATGGAAAGTTTTTTGTAAAATATCATTTTCCCATCTGGTGGTTGTTTTTGTCGTTCAACAGCGATTTACTAGTGAAATACGTTATTGTTACGTGAGAGAAATGAGATGAAATAGAATAAATAAAATAAAGTGTTATGTATAAAATTAAATAATGTAAAGATATTTTTTTCTCCTTTTTTGTGATAATTAGATTATGACCATTTTTCTTTGTCCGTCAACAAACAAAACAAACCAAAAATACATGTTTCATGACATTTTGTGAGAGGATCAAATGTTTTTGTTGCGAAAGTTGGTCTATGTTAAGTAAATATCATTTCTTGTACATTTTAAAAACCAAGCAAATGTCGGCCGAAATAAATCGGCAGCATGAATCGGGCATCGGCCTACCCGGATTTCAAAAGATCGGTATCGGTATTGGCATCGGCGTGAAAAAAAAACATATGGGTCAACCTCTATAGTTAAGATTAGTTATTTTACTAAGTCGAACGTAAGTCATATTTATTGAACCGGCCAGGAAGTGAATATTGTAAATATAATGAGCACGATTAAATTAGGCATTCTTGCTGGGTATATAATGTACATGATTGCTTGATGCACATGATGTTGTGTATTGTTAATTGTTGCTGAATATCACCCTAAAATGGTGTTAACTGTTATCTGCAAGAGAGATGAGTCATATAAAACAAGTTATTCAATGAACAGATCAAAGGAATTAATGTGTGTGTGTTTTATTGTATATCTGCATAGACATTTTTTTGTTCTTTTTTTGTTTGGATGGAAAGAAATCAGTGGCCTGAGACAAGTTACTTGTGTCCTGTGTGTTCAAATCTGTTTACTGACACTGACAAAACAGTGATGGTGATATGCTTTATGATATGAACAGATCGTGTCATGTTTGTTTCTTCTACAGCTAGAGGGCCAGAGAGGGGACCTTAGGAGACCTGTGGTGGACTTCCAGAGCTTCCTGTCTTTTACCGGTCTCTTAGAGGAAGAGCAGCCCCGGATGAACGACTTGGGATCCAGAAAGAGATCTCGTCGCAGCAACGAAGCAGGATCTCAACATGCCCTCCGTGGAAAGTCGACAAGTCCCGTAAAATGGTGAACCGTGTCACGGCTACCTTTGTCTTGGGAATGCAGGGGGGGCATCTCGCATGACATGTTTTAAACCTGAAACAGTTGAAGATTGTGTTATGTTCCTTTAGTCGAACACATCGGTAGACATAACACTGTTCAATTGTCACTGCACTTTCTCCCCCAACCCTTTACTTTGACAGAAATCTCATGTGGTTTTCTTACTTATGGTTTGGAATGTGATACTGATACATATTGAAAAGTGAATGGTCTACCCTAATATAGGAGGTGTGAAGACACCTAGAGATGGAATTAGATGAGATTGATCCTTATTGTCAATGTGCAGAGTACAAGGACAGAGACAATTCAATGTAGAGTATAGACATGTAGTTATATACAGTAAATAGTAAAGGACAGTGCAGTGTATACTGTTTAGGATATGAGAAGTGTGTTAACAGTAGCATGATGAGCATAACACAAATATGTATGCAGTCTGAACAGATGTGTACAGTATGTATAGATATGTGCAGTATAGATAACATTGTAAGAGTTGTGTGTGTGTATGCGTGCGTGTTGGGTTGGCCCTGTCAAAGCTGGACGTGATTCACGCAGCTCAGGAGGTACAGGCAAGGTGACGGCTGATAAGTGAAAAGATTCAAATGATTCAGATGTGGGCACTTATTCCTCCTGCCAGGGCTGCCCACTGAGCCCTTTACTTTTTGCTATTGCGATGTAGCCTTTAGCGATAAGTATAAGAAATCATCCACAGTTATGATTAGTCTCAAAATGTGCCAATACTTTTGTCAAAACGTTTTCTCTCTTCTAATCTTTTATACATCTTCCTTGTATCTAAATTTGGTTTCGACAGCTGGCCCACTGATCCTTATGCTCCATCCATCCCTGAAATGAAGTAAGCCAGAGCAGCACTGCGGTCAGTAGTCATTCTCAGGTTTCACTACTCCAAAATCCTAATATTCCCTGATTTAAATCTCTCCTTCTGAATAACTAATCTAATCTGAGTACAGGACTGTTTTCAAAACACAAGCATTCCATCCTTATCTAAGATCTTGGTTGGAGTTTCTTAATGGACTATGAGTCTGCACTGTGCAAATGTCCATTAAGTATTGATTTTTTTTTTTTTTTTTAGTTTACTAGATTAGTAGTTCCATACTGTACATTAGTGACACCTTCATATGTCTTGGATTACACAAACACTCACACAGATAGTTCTTATCTCTGAACTTCTGGTATTTAAATACAATAGCAGGAAACTAATGTATAACAATCTTAAGTTAAACGTCCACACCCAAAACAAAGGCACACGCAAGGTTATTTTCTCATTGATCAAATTATAGCTACAATTTACAATCCCTGCTCTACACGTCCCCTGTATAACCTCAGGCATATCAGTCGAGATGTTAAATAATATGAGGCCGGTGGTGTTTGGATCTTTGTTGTCATGTCAGTTTAAATGTGCTATCATTAAGCATAACACCTACCCTGGGTTTCTGGCAATGCTCAAAATATGTCACCAAAATAAATCTGTTTCCACTTAAACGTAATTATTTCTGGAGGTTCTTTTTAAAAATAAGAATGAGTAAGAACTACTGGGCCCCCGTTTTCAGTTTCTCTTGTACTTTTTAGAAGCCTAATGAAGGTGGTCAATTTTGACATCCCTCACCCTTAGGTGTCACCACCCTAGGTTCCACCATAGATTTCATCTACAAAAACACTATTGTAATCCTATATATGATTCTTAACAACCAAGAACACATTTTAATGCAAAACAACAATGCAATCCAATGGATTCCTGTTATTTCTAGGTATATGATCTATTGAACAAAATACAAAGCAAACAAATCAAACTATATTGAATAACGTGATAAACCTAGATTGTTCCTGATTGGTTGAATGGATTGCTGATGTCATGATGGCATCGCTTGTATAGTGTATTTAATTAAGTCTATTTTTGTTTAGTCATGGGAAGACAGACTAATTAAGTGGTTCTTTGGAACAATTCATTTCGAAGAATCAGTTTCAGCAAAAAAAAAAAAAAAAAAAATGATCCAACAATTATTTCATGTCCTGACTCCTTGACACCTTGACATGAAAGTGCTAAAATAAAGCCATATTATGAAGGCAGACATGATTCAGCTCATTATAAATTATTATTTAGAATCTAAATATAATTTGATTAACAATAAACAAATTCACACGTTCCTGGATTAAAAAGCTCAGGCACATTTCAAACACGTTCTGTAGCCTACAACTTGTTAATGAAACTGACATATAATTTATAAACAGTGGTCTGCGTTTTATTTGTTACATTTTTGGCTATAAATGTCCACTGTATTAAACATATTTTATCTTTTCACACGCCGTATTTGAGTCGGTTCAACTGATTCGTTTTAAAGACCCGACTCAACACAACAATTCGTTCACCAATCGGACATCGCTACTAGTTGCAATGTCCAGTTTCCACACATCCACAGCGCGTCGCGCGCACATGCCAGGGGGATCTCATTTCTCTATAAATATCTCCATCGCTTTGCTTGAGTAACGATTGCAATGGTTTGAGTGCCATAGGCTACTGTTTGACCTGCTGTATAATCGTCTATATGCGATCTGTACAAATGTAACGCAATTCATTTGTTGGCGATTTAAGCGCACAACGGCCCGTATCGTTGCATTCCTCTTCAGGCTGCTCTGACAGTTCAGATCGTGGACACTGACCGCTGATAATAAATTAAGCTAACTGCCTTGATAATGTCAAAAAGGCAAGCTTCTGTTCACATGACTTGAGTCACGTTGTGACATTCTATTTTTTCCCGATGTAATGTAAGACTGTAGAAGCAACGCGCGCGCAGTAGCCCATATTATTCGCTTTTTTGTTGTATTCTAATCTGGGTTTATTTGAATGAAGTAGGCTATATCCTATAAAACAGCTTCGCTTCAAATTCAGTTTTGCACATGAATCTGCAGTAAAGTGAAATAAGGACGAAATAAAGAAAATACGGAGCGTTGCTTTGAGCGTGTATAAAATTAGGCATATATCTAGTTAATTTATATTATTATTAGCCTATAACGCACACTGATGGACCTTGAAGCACAGAGCATGGGCTGTTCATCATAATCATCATCATACTTGATGGAAACCGAACCGAGATGGCATCACCAAAACATCAAAAGCCCATGAGCCAAGTCCAACAACGCAAAAATCCGAGAAACCAATAGCACCAAAGCTTAAAGTTCCCTTCAGCACTGAGGACTGAATGGACGTGGTTTGTCAGTACTCACCTCGCTACAGGGTGAGCGGTTGGACTGTCTCTGTCGCCATGACTGTGCTGTGTTTGTGTGTTATTATCGCTCAGAGAGAGAGGGGGGAGAGAGAGAGAGATGGAGCTGCGGCATCAGCGCACGCACTGTAGCGGCGGAGAGAGCGAGTGAGCGCGGATTGGAGCCCGTGCGGATGATGGGAGTGGTTGGGAGGGGAATGGGATTATTTACCACTCGCTTGTGTAGTGGACGATTCTGAATGGGCTTCATCGGATGGAGCTGGAGTACTAGTAATTCGGATGTGTAATTAAACGTAGGCTACATTACTAACTTTCATCGAACATGGAATTAATGTTTAGAAGAATACATCGGACGGGTCAAATTTAGATTTAAACTTTTGTTAAATGTGGAATAAGAAAGTTTATTTCAAGTTTGTGGGATAAATTGTATTTAAAAAAAAAAAACCAGTTTAAATTTAACATTTTGAATGACATTGTCACGTGGTGCGGTGGTGGAAGTGCAGGTTGAGGAAGATGTTAGGGGTTAACAGTTAAAGGACCCAGAACCAGATATGAAGAATGAAGACCCGGAGTCGGAATTATAAAAATTAAAGAAAGTTTTACTGAACATAGTTTGCCATTTCATCAGCAGAAGTCAGCTTCAAGACTCACTCAGGAGTTCGTAGGCCGCCCCCTTACAGTTACAAAGATCACAGCAGTTATACTGTTCCCAAGGTCTAAGCTACGTCATTGCTTACACGTTGAATGATTCTCATTGGCTACGATATAGATAAACACAGTAATTTTCCACACATATACAGATAGACGAAACATATCTCCATCGATGAGGCACGTCATGACCTTCCAGGTCATAGATTTGGGTTGCTGGCGCCAGTGTGTCCAGAACAACAACTTATTCAATCTCCAATAATGGCAGTGGTTCCTTAACCTGCAACTAAGAAGACTAGCACTGAACTTTAGTCTAACTGGAGTAAGACTTTAACAAAGAAATAGTGCCTTAAACTGTTGGCTTCAATGACCCCTTTATGTTTTAACACTCAAACATAAACCAAATCCCTATTTCCCTATTATTTTCACTGTTACTGCATTCACCTAGGACACTAGCAAATAGGAGCTCCCATCAAGGCTGAAGAGAGTCTGTGCGTCTTATTATCAGTTAACTGTACCAAAACATAATGGTAAAACATTCACTTTGTTTGGGAGAAAAACAGATAACATTTGCTTCTCAGAAAGCAAATATAATTAGTCAGGGAGCCAAAGTCTCAAAAATGGGTTGAACCTGACATGGTCTGCCATACTTTTTATTTGTATTTTTTCTGTTAACTTTGACCCTAAGAACAAATAATTGGAGGGTCTGCTCTGCCGGAAATATCGCGAAAAAAAATTGTGGCCATTTTAGTGTACGCACCCTTTATTTATTATCAGAAAAATGTGAAAAATGATTTTTTTTCATCAAATCCTCAGTGGGTTGTGTAGGTTCTCAATAAATGCATTCCAGATACACAGAACACATGTGCGGACAACATCCACTGAAAAAATCATTCTTAAAACACATTTCTACATGATTTCGCATCAATTTAATGCAAAAAAACAGGCGTTTTTTCACTTTTTTTCCACTATTTTCACGTTTACTTCATTGGCAATCAACTATTCCCTTAAGTTATGACATCAGGCAATATGCCATTCTTTTCACCAAACACTATACTCATTCCACAGAAAAAATGAAAAAAATCCAAACAAAATCAATGGATCTGTGATGATTTCACTACTAGGTGGCGATCAACAGGCTCAGAATTTCAATAGAATTTTAGACTACTCTCAAAATTCTCAAAAACATGCTGGATATTTAGCATCATGGCTCACTTACAAACACACACACACACACACACACACACACATGTGATCTTAGTAATTTTTATGAGTTTGGAACAACCAACCAACGGTTACCAACGGACTTCGAAGCTGCTCATCATTGTCTGTGGTAAGTGATAGTGACTAATATACCGGTAGGTCTGCCCCAGAGTTTTGGGAAAAGAATGGTAATATGGATATTGTAATGGTAATTAACTGAAAGTACCATACCAGTCTTCAAATATTTCTGATGTATGATTCCTCATCCCAAACGTATCCCTGTAGCAGCAGCATTCATTCTCTACTAGTTTACTTAGCTAGCGTTAGCCGTTTTAGCTAATTTCGGTGGTTTCTTTAAACGGCATTACTCCTCACAGGTATGGGGTAGAGAGTAGAGACTTACTTTTTTTAAATGCTCAGAATATTATGCTCTAAGAGAGGTATGTGTCCTATATGTTCAATAAGCTTTGACCGGAAGTTGAGAAATTGCCAAAATTTCAACTGGACTTGTTAGGTAAAGAAATAGAAATGAGAATAAATGCTGCTACAGGGATACGTTTGGAGCGAGGAATCATTGGAAATTAACTTGTATGAAGCCTGGTGTGGTCCTTGAAGTGTTTTTCATGTCAGACAGATAGTAGGCTAGTAAGGGTAACTAAAGGCTACTCTAAATGTTAGCTGCCATTAGCAATTAGCTACATGGCTAGTTGTTACATTCAGGTTTAGCTAGTTAGCTTGTGGCATGAATGGCCACACAGACACACACACACAAAAAAAATATAGCTATATTGGATATCAGACTGTACACAATACTGAACAATACAAATGTTCTGTAAAATGTAAACATAGGCTACTATATATTATGCATAGTTTGTTTTTGTTTGTACAGTATATAGAGTGAGTGATTTGTCAAAAGCTAGTTAGCTAGTAGTAATAATAATAATTCATTTTATTTGTGGGCATCTTTCAAGACACTCAAGGACACTTTACAAAAAGTAAAATTTTGAATTGAATACGATATCTGATTGGAAACCAATGAAGGTTCCCTAAAACTGGAGTAATATGCTCATTCAACAGTGTTTGTGTAATGATCCGAGCTGCTGAATTCTGAACCATCGAAGTTAATGAATACAGGATGACACTCAGACTCTTAACCTGAGAAGAAAGAAAGATAACAGAGTTGGCGATAGTAAGTGTAAAACTTCCACAATCCCGCAGTTTTGATTTAGTACCTACTAATAAAAATTTAGTTCCCTTTCAGTCGATCACGTGCGGCGTAACATCAACGTGACAACGTAATCGGGACCACTTCAGGGATCACATCACGTGCCCCGCTCCGCAGCGTGGGTATAAACAAGAAGCGGGCGCATGCACACATTGTCTTTCACTTAGGAGCCGAGCTTTCGTCTGACTGAGTTCTGCAGACTGCTGCAATGTTTAAGATCTGGTATGCATTAGTATCTGGAATGCATTTATTGAGAACCTACACAACCCACTGAGGATTTGATGAAAAAAATCATTTTTCACATTTTTCTGATAAAAAATAAAGGGTGCGTACACTAAAATGGCCACAATTTTTTTTCGCGATATTTCCGGCAGAGCAGACCCTCCAATTATTTGTTCTTAGGGTCAAAGTTAACAGAAAAAATACAAATAAAAAGTATGGCAGACCATGTCAGGTTCAACCCATTTTATAGAGCTTTTGAGACTTTGGCTCCCCGACTAAATAGAAAGAATACAGTTTAATATAACAATTAAAGTTCAATAAAGCAATGCTCAATATAGCTTGACCGTCTGTACAGAGAAGTATCATATCTGTTGGACATATGTGTTCACGACGCCTTTAGGATCCATAAACCTTTCTCCTGAGACCAGAGAAAGAGACAAATGGCCTTGTGCACCTAAAAGAAGCTGGTGACGTGCATCAGCATGCATTTAAGAATATTATTTCACAAGCAAAAGCACAAAGAATAAATGTATATGTCGATAAATGATTAAGTAACAATGAATATACTTAATTATTGATTTTATAAAAGAAATACATAATCATTTAAAATGATATTATGATATATATATACTGAAGAGGCAAGGGATTTTGACCACCCCTTCAAAGAAGACAGATGAGCTAGAACTCCAAAGCAAACACTTTACTTAAACTTCAAACATCCAATGGAACAGGAACAGACAGGAATCACACTGTAACATAAGTTCAACGATCGAGAAAGACTGAAGGAAACTGAGGGAACTAAATACACAGGAGAATCAAACATAATGAGGTGCAAACAGGTGAAAATGATGAACAGCCGAGGAACAGGTGGCTGATGAGGGAGTGAGTTCGGGAGTAGAGACAAGAGGATCCTGGGAAGTGTAGTGGCGAGGGCACGGCCAGGGCGGAGCAGGACGAGGGCGTGGCCAGGGCGGAGCAGGCTGTGAGGACCCTTCGGGCGGCCGCGGCGGTGAAGGCCCTTCGGGCGGCCGTGGCTGGGACACTGGGCCCCCCCCCAAAAAATATTTGGGCTGAGTCCCCGGATTAGAGGCAGACGGTCTCGGGCTGGACGGGCGATGGCTGGACGAGCGATGGCGGCCCCGGATTAGAGGCAGACGGTCTCGGGCTGGACGGGCGATGGCTGGACGGGCGATGGCTGGACGGCCTCGGACGGAACCAGCGATAAGAAGAGTTCAGGCTCGGGAGGACTGGACGGAACCAGCGGGGAGGAGAGTTCAGGCTCGGGAGAGCTGGACGGAACCAGCGGTGAGGAGAGTTCAGGCTCGGGTGAGCTGGACGGAACCAGCAGTGGAGAGAGTTCATGCTCGGGAGGGCTGGACGGAACCAGCGGTGGAGAGAGTTCAGGCTCGGGAGGGCTGGACGGAAACCAGCGGTGAGGAGAGTTCAGGCTCGGGTGAGCTGGACGGAACCAGCGGTGGAGAGAGAGTTCAGGCTCGGGAGGGCTGGACGGAACCAGCGGGGCTGAAAGTTCAGGCTCGGGAGGGCTGGAAGGAACCAGCGGAGCTGGACGGAACCAGCGGTGAGGAGAGTTCAGGCTCGGGTGAGCTGGACGGAACCAGCGGTGGAGAGAGTTCAGGCTCGGGAGGGCTGGACGGAACCAGCGGTGAGGAGAGTTCAGGCTCGGGTGAGCTGGACGGAACCAGCGGTGGAGAGAGAGTTCAGGCTCGGGAGGGCTGGACGGAACCAGCGGGGCTGAAAGTTCAGGCTCGGGAGGGCTGGAAGGAACCAGCGGAGAGGAGAGTTCAGGCTCGGGAGAGCTGGACGGAACCAGCG